ATTGATTATTCCTTCCTGATATTGCCAATCTATTGTATCATTGACCAGTTGTTTGCATGCTTCTATAATTTCTGTATGCTTTTTCTATGTTCTAAATGTGCGACCATCTTCTAGAACAAACTGGGATATTGTTTGACTCGTATCCCCACTCCCATAAGCCAGATTGCTTGAGGTCCCCTGAGGGCATTACTGATAGCTTCCTATGTATCACCCTTATAATATTCGACCATTCGATCTCTTGGGAAGTGCTGGTTTCTTGGAAATGCATGGCCATTATGAACTACCATTTCGATTTCTTAATACTTACCTGATCGATACTTTCCACTATTAAATATAGTACCATGAGTTATATCAAGTAATGTAATTAGTCGCTTGAGAATTTTTTCTAACTCTGCTACATCACATACTCGAGCACCTAGAATGTACATTTTTTTCTTCCAATCATTTATTTTTTGCCGACGAATTTTTGTGAGTCCATGTCCTCTTTTGGCTTGATCAAAATGCTCTATTACTCGTTCAGCTACACAGTTAAGTATACCATCCTTTATAGGCATTAATCGATTAATATCTGGCTTTCAGATTTGATATAATCCATAAACTACTGCATTGGTATCAAGTCTTTCTACTTCAGATTGCTCACTGACTTCTCTGACCAGAAATTTTTCATCTATTCCTACCCAAGATCCTGGTTTTTTTTTCTTTGTAAGTATAACATTGGGGCCACCCCTGATGTATTTTCCACCTGCCTTTTTTGATTCGCGAATAGGCTCATATTTATCAATAATTTTAAAAGTGATCTTTGTTTGAGATTCATCTCTATATACAGAATCATTTCTAATAAATTTTACCCTTATTAAGAACTCGCCATTGTCAATTGCATTTAAAATTTCTTGGGCTCGCTCTTCGGTCATCCCAGCTTCATATTTTTTGGATTCTATTTCCACAAACCAGATTGAGAAAGCATATTCAGCACCATCTACTTTAAACATGTCTTTTGCTATTTGAATACCCTTTTGCCATACTTCCCGATATCATTCTTTATCTGAAAACGAAACCGGCCAAGGTACTTTTTTATCTAAATCTTTTGAATCTTTTTCAGACTCATCTCTTTGGTCAATGATTTCAGGAGTTGGGGTTTCCTTCCCCAGTCTTTTCTTTGCCTTTTTCTGTATACTTGAGTAGTCAGGCCAAATTCTGCTTCAGAATCTTCTTCTATTGGTTGGGATACTTTGGTTTTCTTTTGCCATTAACTAGAAGCCTCTTCCATTAAATCAAACCATTCTATATCTGTTTTTGGGACCTTTTTATTAATAATAGTTGGGTTATTTTTTATCTTAGGATTCGCAAGCCAGTTAACCAAATTCTCTATAGATAAATGCATTGTTTGGCCTCTTTTGGATCCTTTCTTTTCACGAACATAGACTAGAAGAGATGGAGGATTAGATGTTGGCGATTAAGGTCTGGATATATTAGGGTTAGATGGATGAACCGGGTTGGGTATTTGGGTTTGCTTACACTTAAATTTTCTGTTAAGATGATTTGTTAAATCACAAGTCTTTTTAAAGTCATTCTTTCTACATCGAGGACATTGTTGTACCATTTTTGATAGTAAGTGAATCAATTCAGTTCTTTGTATTAATAGTACGAAAACTTTTGTTCAAATAATAATTAATTATCCTCTTTCGATCTTTCAATTGGCGGGAGATAGCCTGAAAAAATTTATATCTATCCCGAAAAATTTACACCTATTCTATTTTTTTATATCAGGATTACAATCAGAAAGGCATTCAAAAGCAAGAAAACAAATTAGCGAACTTAAGGTTAACAAGCTTCGGAAAGATAAGAAGACAAATTAGCAAACTTAAAGTTAACAAAAGTTTAGATAGGTAAGAAAATAAATTAACAATCTCAATAAGAAGAAGGTATTAGAATTCAATTCCCGTATATAAAAATTTACACCATGATTATAGAGCTTCTAATCTAATTCTAAAGCCAAGTAGAGTAGCAAAAAATAATATATTTTTTATATATGATAGTGAACCCTATAAGGCCCATGAGGACGATCCAGTAGTATTTTTTTTACACATAAAAGTCTGCTCGCCCTCCCTGCTGCTAATGACTGACTTTTTTTTTTCATATGTCAAATGACTGTCTTTCTTTTTTCACATATTAAATGACTATCTCTTTTTTTCTGTGCATCAAATGACTATCTTACTTTTTTTGCATGTCAAATGACTGTCTTTCTTTTTTTGCGTATCAAATAACTGTCTTTCTTTTTTTGTATATCAAATAACTGTCTCTTTTTTTTTGTATATCAAATAACTATTTTTCTTTTTCTGTATATCAAATGACTATCTCTCTTTTTTTACACATCCAATGACTGTTTTTCTTTTTTGTGTGTCAAATGACTGTCTCTCTTTTTTCGCATATCAAATGACTATCTCTCTTTTTTCACATGTCAAATGACTGTCTCTCTTTTTTTGCATATTAAATAACTGTCTCTCTTTTTTTGTATATCAAATAACTGTTTCTCTTTTTTTGTGTATCAAATAACTGTCTTTCTTTTTTCATATGTCAAATAACTGTTTTTCTTTTTTTGTGTATCAAATGACTACCTCTTTTTTTGTGTCAAATAACTGACTCTCTTTTTTTGTATATCAAATAACTGACTCTTTTTTTTTACATGTCAAATGACTGTCTTTTTTTTTTTGTGTGTCAAATAACTACCTCTCTTTTTTCACACATCAAATGACTATTTCTCTTTTTTTGTATATCAAATGACTACTTCTCTTTTTTTGCATGTCAAATGACTGCCTCTCTTTTTTTATATGTCAAATGACTGCCTCTTTTTTTGCGTATCAAATAACTGTCTCTCTTTTTTTATATATCAAATGATTGCCTTTTTTTTTTTGCGTGTCAAATGACTGTTTCTTTTTTTTCATGTGTCAAATAACTAACTCTCTTTTTTTGTGTATCAAATGACTGCCTTTCTTTTTCATATATCAAATGACTGCTTTTCTTTTTTTGTGTATTAAATGATTGCTTTTTTTTTTCGCATGTCAAATGACTGTCTCTCTTTTTTTGTATGTCAAATGACTGTCTTTTTTTTTACATATCAAATGACTGTCTCTCTTTTTTCATACATCAAATGACTGTTTCGCTTTTTTCATGTATCAAATAGCTGTCTCTCTTTTTTCGCATATCAAATAACTGCTTCTCTTTTTTCACGCATTAGATGACTGTCTTTCTTTTTCGTATGTTAAATGACTATCTCTCTTTTTCTATGCATCAAGTAACTATCTTTCTTTCTTTCTTTCTTTCTTTCTTTCTTTCTTTTTTTCTTTCTCTCTCTCTTTCTTTCTTTTTTTCTTTCTTTCTTTTTTTCTTTCTCTCTTTCTTTCTTTCTCTCTTTCTTTCTTTCTCTCTCTCTTCTTCTTTCTCTCTCTCTTCTTTTCTCTTTTTCTTTTCTTTTTTTTCTTCTTTCTTTCTCTTCTTTCTCTCTCTCTCTCTCTTTCTATATCTTTCTCTCTCTCTCTCTCTCCCTCCCTCCCTTACTCTTCTCTTTTCTCTTTTTTTTCTTCTCTCTATAGTATAATATATACCTGCTTCACAAGTATATTATATAAATAGAACCCACTTTGTAGGCTTCCATATATTATTTGAGGTGATATTATGTAAACAGGAACCTGCTTCGCAGGCTCCCATATAGTATTCATAAAAAGTCACACTCAAATTTTAACAGAGATCTCTTGAAGACCCTGCTTATGCAAGAGATCTCTGTTAAAATTAAGTGTGACTTTTTTTTTACCGTGACCGACAATTGCGCTTTAGTATTAAAGGGCAACAATATTGTTGTTGATACTAGCTCTCAGACCCAGACATTGCTCCGGGGACTTGGTTTTAACTTTTTAGTTTTGAAGTTTTTTTAAAATTGGTTTTAATTTAATAGTATTTAAATTAAATAAATTAAATTATATAATTTTTTAAAAATACAATTTAGTTTTTATGTTTT